CAGATGTCTGATTTTGAAGTAATTGATGGAGATCATGTTTTTTGTAAAAAGGATGTTGCAGGTGTGTTATTATCTTGCAGTTTGGCAGAACCTTTTTTATTTTGTTTAAGATTATATTTATAATATTTATATTTTGATGACAAGTTTAATAATTGGGAATTAACGTTTTGAAAATTTCAGTAGTGAATAACAATCAGTTTCAGAAATAACATTGAAGATGTTTCAATAAAACAAACAAGTACATTTTAATAGTAAACATGCTATATAATAGTTTGTATATATAAACTATTCTTGATAAGCATAGAAAATCATTGGTTATTGCCGTCCGCGCCAAAGCGTGGCGCCTTTTATATGGAATGCAGTCATTCTTACCGTCAGTCTTAGCGGAGGACGTTCCGATTGGTGAAAGGGTATTTTCTTTTAAAACGGAACGGTCATTCGTTTTGCGCTAGGGTAATAAATAACGAATGTTAAATTTTGCAGGAAATAAATGTTTACATTAAACATCCCGCGAAACACACAAAATTCTTCTGTTTTTTTCTGTTTGTTTGTTTTATTTTTGTTTTTTTTTGGGTTTTTTTTATTGTTTTTTTTTTCTCTTTTTTTCTTTTTTATTTCGATGCTATTATTACAGCAAGAGTTAACAAAAAACACAATTCACATTATCTATTGCAAATATAATAATGGTTAGGTATCAATAATATTGTTGGTTTACAATATGTATTTTAGATTAAAAATTATGTTAAATTATGTATTTCTTATACAATAGCTGTTACTAAAAGCTAATTTCATTTCTTGATTTATAGTGAAGCAGAACAATTTACAGAACAAAAATGGGAAAAGAAGGTTAAGTGTTACTCAAATGAATGGTGAATATGTGATTCATAAAAAGATGAAGAATACAGACGCTACGGGTTGGTTATATGCTTTGTAAAAAAATCGAACGCCAGTAATATTGTTTTAATAAAAAATGTAAACTAGTGTTAAAGATGTAAACAAGTAGGGAAATCTGAAAACAAAATATATGTTTATGTTTTCACTTGACACTTGAAGTTTTCTTCATTCACTCACATAAAAATATATATATTTATATACCATATGTGTTTTTGTAACTAATGGTAATTATACGTCTTTTTTTAATTTCGTAAAAACTTAATATTTAAACATCGTTATTGTATTGAAATGGTATTTACATGCACAGAGAAAAACTATATGGAGGATACAAATAAAGAAATACAAGCAGCAGATCAATCAATACAAGCTTTGGATACTTTTCACGATGAAATGAGGGAAATTACCAGATGGAGAATTGGTAAACCTTTTTTTTCTTTTTTAAAGCAGGTCAATAACAAATAATACTTCATTGTACTTTATTAGTTTATGATGTTTTTTATTTAAACTTAAAATATAATATTGCTAATATTCTATAATATTATACAATTATTGACTAGTGGGCCATTGAATATGATGTGATATTTACTGGCAGATGACGTATTTACTAAGGCGAAGTCAATATGACATTTTGACGATGAATATAACATCATTTTAAATGGACGATTTGTAAATAATTGTTTTTTTTATATGATTAGCCTAAGATTTATAAAAAAAGCCACACAAAACGTATAGCCTAAAATTTAAAACAAGTAAACAGTATACATGTTCTTATCATTGTGTAACTTTTACCTTATATTGTGGAGTATAAAGATTTTTAATCGAGAAACATGTTATAAAGAAAACATGCAACAATTTCAGCCAGTGAATATGATAACTACACCCTATGAATATACTTTCATGATTTGTTCTATTGACTACTGTTTGATGCAATGAAACTGCATCTATTTTAAATCATATAACAGTATCTAATATTTATCGGAGAACGGAAAACATTCCTGGATATATTCTTAAAAATACATAATTTTCGGAAAACATTACCATTTTTTCACTTTTTTAAATGTTGTTTTTGATAAATAGAATTTAAGATGCTAAGTTCTGTCTAAAAATATGACAAGACAGTCTCTTTACTCTCTTTTTGCATCTACAATGTCTGATGGACATTTTCATATGAACACTTACAATAATTTCTATATAGATTGGTAATTTTCTTGTGTCTATTTAATTATGAAATTCTTGTTTTGAATCAACTTTTACTTTGACTTTGGTAGTTTTTGTGAGGTAAAATTGGTAAAGTTACGACCAAATTTAATTTAAGTCAAATAACAATTATTTATTATTGTCGTATTTTACACAAAAAATCCTTGTGGCTAGTCGAAATAATGATTAAAAACGATGATTTTGTAGTGTATTTTTCTAGGGGGAAACAATCAATATGTGGAAAAATAGCAGTCAAAAAATTAGCTAATCGGATGTCCAGAAAATTAAAAAATAAAACTAGGTTAAATACACGTACATATTGGCCTTGAAGGAAAACCACTTAAGATGTATACAAATATCAATCGATGTACGCCTATCAAACAATATAAGGACTGAAAAAAGTAAAATAAATAATGTTAAGTATGTAATAAATAGACACAATGAAATAGGAAACACGTTCTGACGCATCTAATAAGATATATAACATTTACTGAAAAATCAAAACAATAGTTTATGTTATAAAGCTCTATAATAATAGCTGGTCCGTTAACAAAAAAATTAAAACTTTTGCCCATAAATAGCTGAGCTGTTATGAAAGACGGTAGTGTTATAGCCGCCTGGGCCATTTTTATTACTAGTCTCTTAAATATCATTTTCGTAAATAAAATAAAACTTGGTGTGGGAGTCATCCCATTCTATTCTCATGTCACCTACATACGTAAATTGAAATGATCGTGACATGGAAATTATGGTGCACACATAAACACATATACGACAATAAATTAAGATATATTCAAGGCGCTTCATGAATGAAGTATATGATCGCCCATATGGTGTATTACGTTGGCGATTACAAAGAAATTTAAAAGCACGCACAGAAAATTGATCTAATTGATTGATCATAAACCTTTAAATTCAAAAATAACAGGTGAATTATCTTTTACACGAATTACTTACTTACTTACGTAGTTTTCTCATAAAAAGTCTGAAATAACGTTACATTAATCTTCTGTAATTATTCCCGACGCAAGTACTGCTGTATATACCTAATATTACAGCATACGATCCTTCTTATGTAAACATATTATGAATAATTCGTTCTATACCTCAATTGATGATAATTAGTTAAGAAACTTGTTGAATGATATAGCAGCAAAATACAGTATCGTAAAGTTTACTCAAGGATGACCATAGTACGAGGTCTTAGGACTGTTAGCTCTTTTGTTTACAGTTTTTAATTGACGTTCACAATTTTAAAGAAACAAACATCGGAACATGTCCTTTATATACGATTGAAAATCAATGCAATATGTAACAAATACCAAGTCTGTGAAAATATCAAATGACAAGGATACGCGACACGGTGCGATAAAAGGCGTTCATGGCGTCGCAAATCAACTACAAAATGTAACAAGCGACTTTCTTTCTCTCCCTAGTGACCAAGTGGTCTGAATCAAGGCCTTATATGTTGAGATAAAAAGGGAAAAAAGCGACAAAATTCTTGTTCTACCTTTCGAAAATATTGCCACGTAACCAGCCACTATGATTTTTGAGAAAACCTGAAATTCAACAGGAATACAATAATTATTATTATTATGTGAATGTTCATAAAAATATATTTAAAATATTGATTTACACATGTTATCTAACATTCTTAAATCAATACGACTATGTACAGTGGAATAAATTATGCACAACTAAGTAGAATATTTATTTACTAATCATATAAAAGGTATCAACTTCTACTGATCACAGCCTATCATTTAATTAAACAAAATAGTGGAAATAATTCTTATAATTACCGTTTATCATTATTGTATTTATTAATTAATAGCGCGTTAAATCAAATTTAAAAGTGTATAAAAACATACCTCATATACAACCTTTTTGGTCTGAACTGATTCAGAAAACCCGATGCAGACATAAAAAGCCGGTTAGATCGCGGACTATTTACCGTCGAACCTCCTGTAGAGCTTTTGCATTTGATGTTACTTAACCCGTCATTTTTTCTGTTTTCATCCTCGTCCTTTCCTGTTTATGATCTCGTTATCGCCATATATGAATTTCTTGTACCAGCTGAAAACAAGTGTCCAGATGAACGATTTTGTACAGTATTAATTTAATCTGTTTTTATGTATCTGAATGTGTATCGTCAATCCATTGGCAAAATTTAATAGTCGCACAAAACGTTCAGTCTTTTAACGGACGTAATATTTCTACATTAAACGCTATGACATCTGCTGTCCAAACTTGATAATTTGGCATTTTTATGTCTGAATGACGTCAAATTTGGACATAATGTCACTTAAATGTATTCTATTGTGTTGGTAAAGTACATTAAAAAACAACAGATAATGAATTACGGGAAAAAATATAAAAATACAACTTAGCTCCTACTTCTTTTGTGATGCGCTGCGCCAGGTGCGTGTAAGGTTGGGTTTACTTTACCACATGCAACACGCGTTTCGCAAAATAATTTAAGAAAAATTAGGCTCAATTTGTATGAAATATCGCCATTCATGACAGAGTTCTAAATTTAAATGAATATGACATAGGGAGAAATAAGAATCCCTAAAAGAAAGCCCAACTCCTAGTTCTATAATTTACAAACGTTTATCTTTAAATATTCAAAGTTCGCACATTTTGATTTTCAAATTTCTTTTTTTCAGATTGTTCTTGCATAACGGTCTTAAAAGAAATTAATATATTCTTTCAATGGCGTCGTTATGACATACGCGAACCCCGTAGGTTTTGCCTTTGAGTATTATACTTTGACCCTTTTGTTAATTTTCTATCTTACTTATTAAGTGGAAATGTTAGATTTCATATCTTAACACTCACATGTTTGTCTCAAGTTGTTAAATTAAATTCGCAGCTTATCATCCTATTACCTTTTTTTCTCAGATTCATATGAATGGAATAGATATCTTAAAGAGGCAGATGCAAACGATAACAAAGCAATGAAGCTCTTAGGGGACATGACTCTCCCAGATAAAGATATTCTCAACAAAATTATGCAAGAAAAAGAAACCGTTATTTCGTTAAATGTTAAGCGGGAGCTATTGTCCAGTATTTGTCTGTATATCAGGAGATTATCACCTATGATAAATGATGTTTGGGCAGCTTATAGGACTAAAACGGGTCCACCACTTGAACGCGCAGACTTGGTTTTTGTCATTCACACAAGTCAAAAAATTGAAGGAGAATGGGACTTTGAAACGTACCAAGTATGTAAAGATGATATAACGGAGACTTGCAAGCTGGAAAACGAAGATATATACAAATGCGAACAAGCAGGTGATTATTCAACAACCGAGATGGCAGCCATCAAAGCATTCATCAAGAAAAATGCAAGGCGATTAATGCAAAAGCACAGCAACATAACAAAAATATCACCAAGTTGCGTAAGATCATCCGGGTACCAAACAAGGGCTGCTCTCATGGAAAACATTCCCTGTATTGCATTGTATGTTCAGATAAAGGGATTGATTCCCTTTAATGAAGAATCGTTCGACCGAACAATAATGGACATACCTTTTGATGTAAGAGAAGGGGTGTTTACGCTTTGTGGAAGGCCAGATGATTTGCATCAAAATGTTAAAATGGGATGCGAGATAGACAGTGGATATGGTACCGACAAAGGAACTGTGGGTCCATTTGTACAATTAGAACACTACATGAATACATATTTCTTAACAAGTGCACATGTTGCACTTGATAAGAAGCAAATGGAAGAATTAAAGAAAAGCGATGATAGTTACATATACTACGGTAAAATCGGCCACAACATATTTCAACCACCGGAATCTAAAACAGTCAGCAATTCAAGCTCGCGATACCCTCTTGGCAAGATAGTACTGGCCGTCTATAAGGAGGGTAACGAAGACGAAGCTGGAATGGAGCTTGCATTAGTACAAGTTAACAAAGACCGATTACCGAATGATGGCAGTTTTCCTGGTGAGATATTAAGGTTTTCAAGTAAAATTTAGCTAAAAAAATTCAATTTATACCTCAAGTTAAAAAGAACTGACGGAAAGATCGTTCTTTTGCAGAGTCCCACAATAATTTCACTAAACAAATACACCAAATAAACTAAGTTTGACAAAACAACATTGCAATTAAATAGATTAACAGCAAATCGTTCGGCACCACAGTTCATTTAAGCTTGTGACCGGTTTCTGTTAAAATAAGTACCTTCTGCGTATTAGTTAATCCGAAACATCTCATAAGTAACATATTTGCTTTGATTTATAGTCGATTAAAAACGAATATACAATATCATAAATGGCAACTTATTTTCCTTTTTAAGTAATGTTAACCTTGTTATATTGTTTAAAACAAACTACGTCATTAAGCGCGCCGATGAATTTAACCGTCAAGTATTAGAAACCAAACTTGCCTCTCATCGCTGTATGATCAAGCAACAACAACGTCTTTGGAATTTTATGTGAGAAAGCTATGTAGCTAGCTTCATGAATTTTTGGTCAACTCAAGGATAAAATAAAAAAAGTTCCTGTTTTCTGCGCTTTCTTACAAAATTTTCCTCGCTTCAATACGGACCTGGCTAATGTCATATTTACATCGGCCTTGGACCTCGGTGAAAATTGCATTGGCATGGTCCATATTCTTGGATATTCACCTCATCATTTTATAATGATTTTATATAATCAACTAGTTTAAATACATGGATATTTTAATATTTTTTTGAATAATTCAGAACTATATTACTAGGGATCATAAATAACATTTGCTCTAAGTTTGAAAGTGTTTGTTTTTTTAGTCAGGGTGAAGCATTTGTTAGACATTGGAATTTATAAAAAAACTATTACCTCCTTCAAAAAGCACCGAGGAACCTTCATATAAATGCAGTTGCTGTTTCCAAAGCATATAATTAATGTACTCAATATAAGTGATCATCTTATGAAGTTTGACAGTTGTAAAACTGTTAACAATATTTAGGTCATTTGATATTGACCTTTGATCTTGTGACTCCAATATAGATATGGATCTTTTATTCAATATAGGCAATAATTATATGAAAATTGAACACTGTAAGCCAAATGGAACTTAAGTTATGCTCCAGAAACCACAATTTTCAGTGTAAAGATCATTGTGACCCTGATCTTTGACCTTGTGACCCGAAATTATCAATAGGGGTCATGTTTTTGACTTTGCTGGTTATCTTATAAAAATTACAGATGTAGGTTGATTAATACTTAAGTAACTGAGCGGAAAATGTTTTCAGTTTTAAGGTTAAATGGACCTTGACCTTTGACCTTGTGATCCCAAAATCAATATGGTCTTTTTTCCAATATGGACAATCATCCTATGAAGTTTGAACATTGTGGGTCAAACGGAACATAAGATATGCTGCGGAAACTGTTTTCAGTTTTAAGGTAAAAGTGACCTAGGCCTTTGACCTTGTGACCCAAAAATCAATAGGGTTTGGGTTACCCAATATGGACAATCATCCTATGAAGTTTGAATATCGTGGGCAAAATAGAACTGATTAGTAAGTTATGCTTTGGAAACCAAATTGCTAACGGACGGACAGGCAGACGGACGGACATTCTTACCAGAGCTACATTATGGGAGTTTCTTTTGTTATTTCTTTTGTTCTTTTTAACCCCACAATGCAGAAAATAATCCCACAAGAGAAACGGAATGAATGACATCAAAGTCATCTATTGTTATGAGAACAATAGGCCAAACCCCATAATGTAGCTCTGGTTTGTACGGACGGACAGACGAACGGACGCCAGGGGATATAAAATAATATGCCCGAAAAATTTTCGGGCATATGAAAAGGTCTTCACAATATGTATTTTCTTCATTTTATTTTGTAGAATGGGACTAAATCTACTTTTTACTATCCGTTTGGGCTTTTTACATAACGTTACATGATGCAGGTAATAAGGAGTCATACATGCCTCAGTCATGGTCAGTGAACAATATGTGTACTCTTGACAAAGAGTTATACTCTGATCCGTTTGAAAGCTAATTCAGCATACAATGTTAATCTTGTCAAAATAAATGATCAAATATCAAATAATTACTTGTTAAAGTCTTTCAATATGTGCTTTTTAGATCACAAAGAATCAGGTTTCCATTTCTCTTCCGGTGAAATTCTGCAGCAAGAAAAACTCATGCCTACATCTCGTGTGTTCAAGTTCGGATGTATCAGTGGTTTAACAGAAGGGCGATATGTTGATGACTGCACAACTGTTAGAACAAATGCGAATGGAAATTCGGTAAGCGTTACTCTCAACAACCAAATTAAAATAGTAAGTCTGGATTCTTCAAGACCGTTTGGTGTACAGGGAGATTCAGGTTCTCTTGTGTTTGCTGTTGAAAATGGCGAGTGTCGCGCAGTTGGGATTTTTGAAGGACAACTGGATCAACATAACTTCATGGTTACACCAATTGAAGACGCAATCAATTTTGTTGGCAATCGCTTGTCGTATCATAGAAATGAGTTATGTCAGTCTGCGGACAGATTGCAATTCAAGGCTGTTCAGCTTCCGTTTGAACGACACCCCGTTCTTGGTGTTGGAAATCAAACATGCAATACGGCAACAATGTTATCGTATAATGTAGAACACTCTATGGATACAGTAAAAAGTGAGCTAAAAAATACGAGGGAATTTTTCAAACAATATTTCGATGACAGATTTGATAAATTAGAGAAATTAGTTATAAATCAAACAACTCAAAAATAAACCGAAACTCATATATTATTCATACAAAGGAACAGTTCGGTAAACGTCTCAAGTTTCATAATAGAAATACTAGCAATTAAGCGTTGTTATTGTCGCATACACAAACAAATCAAAAATTAAAGTGTTACACGAAAATGCAGTATCGAAAAGAGAAATTTAAGAAAACAAAGCTAAACATAAATATATTATACACAACCGCAACTTTAGATTACCTTTTGTTCTTATCTGTTATTAAATAATACAACAGAGTTGATTTTCCTGGAAAACAAACAACAACAAAAACAGACAAAAGGTGTTTATACGACAAGAAATTACAAATAATTTCATCAACATTTTCTTTTGATTAGATAAGTAAAACAAAGCATGTTTTGATAATCTAATTATTGTTAAGATGTTTCATGGATCAGATTATCTTAGATATAACATTGGAAGTCTGACTAAAGTTCAGATTTGTTTTTGTCAACATGTAGATCTCATCGCAAGTAACTCTTTTCGCTGCTTTCTCATCCGATATATATTTTCTGCTAAGGCTATTTTAGCACTCATTACAGAGAATTATTTTACATTATCCGGGAAGTCAGACAACTTAGAAAATATCTTCAAGTAGTTATGTGAAAAATAATTTCTGCGAATCATTAGTTTATATTATTTTTAATATTAAAGCCTTTAGTCTTAAACGCGCGCGAGTCGATATTTTTGTTCACCTTTTATATCTTGAAAATTGCGTACACATTTTTGCTCTCCCAACGGTTAAAATAAAACTTTATTCCACTTTCATGAACCCAAAACCTGACACTAATTGGTTGATTAAAAGTCACAAGAAGTTAATCTCTTATCAGCCACCATCAGATCTACATGTAAATGTAAAGATGATGTGAACATTAGTCAGACGGTATGTTTTGGTAAACTAGTATTATTTCCCTAATATATTTTGTACCCTCGAGTGTGTAATTGATTTTTATGAAAGTATGATTTTAAGCGGTAGGATTGAAACGATTTAATAGTATTATATTTTGCTTTGTAACCCATTATTGGCGTAATGTGTAGTGTAGACTTATTGCTAAAAGGTTTTTAAATTTTTATGATTGTTTCTATTTTTCATATTTTTTTACCTGCCACGATTTGATGTTTGTTTTTATTTTATTTTTCTTCTCTTTTTTGTTAACTTTTCACATACATAACCAGATAATCGGGGACAAAATTAACCAAGAAATTTTAAAACCCTACGCACGGAAAGATTTCATGCACCTGGTCGTCCGTCCTTCTGTTAGCAGATTTCGTGTCCGGTCTGTATCATTTAAAACGATGAAAGGAAAGTGAAACTATTTTATAAAATGTACAACATAATAAGACAATATGCAGAGCGCAGGTATGTCCTACATACATTCAAGGTCCCACTTAAAAATTTCATGTCTGCTATGTATCTTTTGAACCGATAAAAAGAATGTAATACTAATTTGCAGAAATATCAGTTATAATGAGACAGTGTGCAGAACACAGGTTTGGGCTTCCTGTGATAAAGTTTGCCCGGCCCTGGCATTACTTGATTTATGTAGACTGATAAAGAAAAGATAAAGTTTCGTTTTGGGCATTGCCTTTTGACCTTTAAGTTAACCAAACATATAAGAATAATGCCTCTTGGCTCAAAATTTGCTTCATTCCTTGGGTCACTTGATCTTTATAGATATATAGATTATATAATATATAAAGAAGACATCTGAAACTTCTTTTGTGCAACTACAAAATTCTGGAAACAAAGTGATCCCTCGGAAGCATTAATCACAACAAAATAACATAAGAATTGCAGACTCGGTTTGATTGAGTCTGTACATGAGGGACAATGTATAAGTGCAACATCCCTCACGCCCCCTAGCACCGGCTTGAGCGGTACTCAATTCTCAACACTTTATAGTGTTGGCATCAATGATCCCGAAGGACCAGAAAAAATAACAACACTGAAGTGAAGTACGGGGCAACTTTTTACGGCTGCCACACGGCACTTGACACCTGCTGTTGTGAAGTACAAAATTCTGGAAACAAAGTGATCCCTCGGAAGCATTAATCACAACAAAATAACATAAGAATTGCACAAGCCTAGAGCTTAAATATTTAGAATGTAGTTTCACACATCACTTTGTGAACTGAAAAATACTGTATTAATTAGGCATTTTGGATTGATATTGGCCCCACCCCGGCGTTAATCATTTAATACAGTTTTTGGTACGAAACTCAATTAGGTCTTATTTTTGGGAAACTACAATGTCTTCAGATCAGTTTTTTTGATATGTAGCATTGCATTGGTTGCCTCTACAAAACAAGTCCTTAAACATGCCCATTGAATATTCAACCCTGGAATTTGAGTCTTTTAATTGATATACTAGTCTTGTATGAAAAAAGCAAATTTCAGTCTAATTGTGTGATACTAAAATGCCAAGAGCTAAGATATTTAACATGAAACATAAACTTTAAAACCTCTGCAAAATAGTATAATTAATACCTGTGTGGTCAATATTGGCACGCCCCGGGATCACTTGATTGATGTAGACGTATATAGAAAAATAACATTTAATTAGTTTTTTGAAACGTCAAAGCCCAGAGCTGAGATATTTGGCGTGCTGCATGAATTTGTAGATTTCTACAAAAAGTTATATTTATAACGGTCCTCAGGACCCAAGATATAGGAAAAAATATCGTTTTCGGGATATAAACATGACCTCTATATTTAGAAAAAATAATCACCGATCAGACCTCTATACAAGATTAATGAATTAAGGCTAATTTAGATGTCATATAGTATCATAAGGATAATTAAGATAAGTAATCTTAATTGAAAGATAATTTTTGATTGCTGAAACGAATTTACATTCGGGCGTATCGTCCCGCGTTTGTGATTGTCTTTTCAATACATTATGTTCTTTTTGTTCTGTTTGGTAATACGAACTTGTGACTGATTAATATTCAGACATTTAATAAATAAAAATAATTCATTGTTTTCTAATAATTGAATGATGGACAAGTCCACTTAAGATATTTATAGTAGTAACGTTTAAGATGAACGATATAAATGATTTCAGTGAATGCTAGAATGGTTTGATTATCTGGCGGAATGTATAACATAATGTTTTGTAATAATGTGCGGATTTACATCGTAGATGCAGTTAGCATTATCTTAATTTGTCATGTTTTTGCTTATTTATGTAGTGCACTCGTTTATAGGAAATATTACCGATTTTATTTGTTCACATGATTCATGGTTAAAACTGGTTTCGTCATCATTTTTTTATTTCATGATTTTAAATAGATGCTTACAGTATCACTGTTGGGAGGGAAGACAAGGACATCAATACTATTATACAGGAATCATTGAAATCTTGAAATTATGAATGAGAAAAACTGACCATAACGACGTTAGGTGCATCTCATAGATCTTTGACGTATTCTGATATATAATTTTTATATCTACGATGTTGTCCTACTCTTGTCTGCGCATTATTTAAAGTAAAATCTTCGTAAGAAGACTTTTATGTATGTGTAATTATTCTCAAATTGAATATTCATTGCCCAGCTATGACAAGGTGTATCTTTATTTTTTATTTTTGTTGTTGTTTTTTGTTTTGCTGTTATTTTATATATATATCCATACACATAACAAGAAACATTTAAACCCTGTGCACATTTGTTTATTTTTTGTTCCTTTTATCATTATTATTTGTTTTATTTATTATGGTTATGGTTTGGTTTTATTGACCTTCGGCTAATATAAATTCAGAATTTTTAGCATCGGTCTTTGTTACATTTAAGCTTGCTTACGGGAACAATTATTGTCCAGGCGACTAGTGCAGACTATGATCATCTATCCGTCCGTGTGGTTTGTACTGTTCGCATTGATGTAAATACCCATTTAAAGTTTAATAATATAAAGTATAAAGTATATATAAAATATTATGCATGGTAAGGTTAAATATGAACAATCCAAATATTTTTTTCTCATTCAATAGGTAAAATTGGATGATTTCCAGGCGATATGTACATGTATAGTGTGATATATTTCAACTACATTATTTATCTAAAAGGCGCAGGAGTCGATATTTTTGTTCCCTTTTTTATTTTGAAAAGAGCGTATACGTTTCTGCTCTCCCAACGGTTAAAACAAAACTTTTTCCACTTTCATGAACCCAAAAACTGGCACTAATTGGTTGGTTAAAAGTCACAAGAAGTTTATCTCTTATCAGCCACCATCAGATCTACTTGTAAAATTAAAGATGATGTGAACATTAGCCAGATTGTATGTTTTGGTATACTCGTATATATATGTTTTCCCTAATATCTTTATTTACCTCGAGTGTGTAATTGTTTTTTATGAAAGTATGATTTTTAGCGGTTGGATTGAAACAATTTAACGTTATTGTATTTTGCTTTGTAAACCATAAACAAATTTTTCCTGATTTATTGGCGCAATGTGTAGAGTATAATTATTGCTAAAATGGTTTTATATTTGTATTATTGTATCTGCCACGATTTGATGTTTGTTTTGTATTTATCTTATTTTATTTTTTTTTTCTCTTTTTTTGTTAATTTTTCACATACATAACCAGATAATCGGGGACAAAATTAACCAAGAAATATGTTAAACCCTACGCACGAAAAGATTTCGGCGTATAATGTTATGCACCTGGTCGTCCGTCCTTCTGTTAGCAGATTTCGTGTCCGGTCTATATCATTTGAAACGATGAAAGGGAATTGAAACTATTTAATAGAAATGTAAACCATACTAAGACAATATGCAGAACGCAGGTATGTCATATCTACATTCAAGGTCACACTTAGACATTTTGTATCGATTTAAAAATTTCATGTCTGCTCTGTATCTTTTGAACCGAAAAAAAAGAAGTTAATACTAATTCACAGACAAAAAAACTATAATGAGACAGTGTGCAGAAGGCAGGTTTGTCTTCCTGTGATCTTAGTTTGCCCTGCCCCGGGATTACTTGATTTATGTAGACTGATATAGAAAAGTTAAAGTTTCATTTTGGGCATTGCCTTTTGACCTTAACAAAACATATAAGAATAAAGCGTTTTGGTTCAATATTGGCTACATTCCTTTTGGATTGATATTGGCCCCGTCCCGGCGTCAATCATTTAATACAGTTTTGGGTACGAAACTCATTTAGGTTCTATTTTTTAGAAACTCCAATGTCTACAGATAAGTTTTTTGATACGTAGCATTGCCTTGGTCGCCTTTACAAAACAAGTCCTTAAACATGCCCCTTGAATATTCTACCCTCGAATTTGGGTCTTTTTAATTGATATAGTCTTGTATGAAACAAAACACACATTTCAGTCTTATTGTGTGATACTAAAATGCCAAAAGCTAAGGTATTTAACATGAAACATAAACTTTAAAACCTCTGCAAAAACCTCTGTATAAATCATACCCCTGTGGTCAATACTGGCCCGCCCCGGGATCACTTGATTGATGTAGACGTGAAAGAAAATAACATTAAATTAGTTTTGTGAAACGTCAAAGCCCAGAGCCTAGATATTTGGCGTGGTGCATCAATTTGTAGATTTCTACAAAAAGTTATATTTATAATGGTCCTCAGGACCCAAGTTATAGGAAAAAATCGTTTTCGGGATATAAACATGACCTCTATATTTAGAAAAAATAATCACCGATTAGACCTCTATACAAGATTAATGAATAATGCATTAAGGGTAATTTAGATGTCATATAGTATCATAAGGATAATTAAGATAAATGATAAATTTTTCATGCAAGTTTTGTATTGGGTCTCTATCTTAATTGAATGATAATTTTTGATTGCTGAAACGAATTTACATTCGGGCGTATCGACCTGCGTTTGTGATTGTCTTTTCAATATTTTCTGTTCTTTTTGTTCTGTTTTGCAATACGAACTTGTGATTGATTAATATTTAGACATTTAATAAATAAAAATAATTCATTGTTTTCTAATAATTGAATGATGGACAAGTCCACTAAAGATATTTATAGTAGTAACGTTTAAGATGAACTATATAAATGATTTCAGTGAATGCTAGAATGGTTTGATTATCTGGCGGTATGTATAACATAATGTTTTGTAATTATGTGCGGTTTTACATTGTAGATGCAGTTAGCATTATCTTAATTTGTCATGTTTTGCTTATTTATGTAGTGCACTCGTTTATAGGAAATATAACCGATTGTGTTTGTTCACATGATTCATGGTTAAAACTGGTTTCATAATCATTTTTTATATTTCATGATTTTAAATAGATGCTAACAGTGTCACTGTTGGGAGGGAAGACAAGGACATCAATAATGTGTTACAGGAATCATTGTAATCTTGAAATTTTGAATGAGAAAAACTGACCGTAAAGATTTTAGGTGCACCTCATAGATCTTTGACGTATTTTGATATATAATTTTTATATTCTATGATTTTTGTCCTACTCTTGTCTGTGTATTCTTTAAAGTAAAATCTTCGTAAGAAGACTTTTATGTATGTGTAATTATTATCAAATTTAATGTCCATTTACCAGCCATGAAAAGGTGTATCTTTATTTTTTATTTTTGTTGTTGTTTTTTTGTTTTGCTGTTATTTTATATATAGTCACACACATAACAAGGAACATTTAAACACTGTGCACATTTGTTTATTTTTTTCTTCCTTTTATCATTATTATTTGTTTTATTTAATATGTAGTTATGGTTTGGTTTTATTGACCTTTGACAAATTAATATTCAGAATAATATTTAAGCATCGGTCTTTGTTACATATAAGCTTACTTACGGGAACAATTTTTATCCAGGCGACAAGTGCAGACTATGATCATCTTTCCGTCCGTGTGGTTTGTACTGTTCATTATTGTGTAAATACCCATTTAAAAGTTTCTGATGGAAGGGTGGACAAGTATATTTAAAATATTAAGCATAGTTAGGTTAAATATGAGCAATTCAAATAATTTTTTTTTCACATTCAATAGGTGAAAATTGGACGATTTCTAGGCGATATGTACAAGTATAGTGTGATATATTTCAACTCGTAATGTTTTACTTTAGTATTTTGCTAACAAAAATTTATTGACTGGTGTTTATCTTTTATTAAAATAATATTTCTATTGCATAAATTTATTCTTTTTCTCGTTATTATTTTGAATAAGTATAAAGTTAATAAAAAAGATATCTACTTTGTCAAGCATTTGTCACCAATAAATTTAATAAATTTATTGATCAAATAATTAATTAATTAATAGCTTTACACATTGTCTACTTTACATATGGAACATGTTTTAAAACATATACAAGTTGTGAGTTAATTTTCAGTTTAAGGTAAAACTTCGAAAACCGGAACTACGTTTCGCATTTACGTGTTGCCAGAAAACAAACTTATATTTTATTATCGGTAGCAATGTTTTTCGTTTATATTACAGACAATTTAATTTCTTTATAATGTTAAGCATATCCATTCTGCAGATTTTTATTTAAGCATCTATTTTAAATGCATTTGAAAGGGGATGAATTCTGAAGCATAAAATAAGATCTTTGTTAAGATATAAATTGTTTAAGATTCAAATGTTAATGGATATACATTCATCAATAATATATTTTCAAAAGAACACATATTTAATTCATGTACTAAAAATCCTGCATCTTATCGATGGCCTATGTGTTGTTTGTCTTCCCTCCTGTTCCCTTTATATCTTATCATGATATTTAGAAACTAGAAAGAGTCTAACTCCACGAATGCCCCCGCATGCAGCTAAACTTTCAAATGTTATATTATAATAATTAGTTCCAAATTTGTTAGCACGAACCATTTTTTAATTCTAAGTTCCTTAAGACCCTTTATATATTCAATGTTAACACAAAGTTCAAGGCCCTGAAACTATTTCGTGTTAACCTTTTGTAAATTGCATAATTAATATTTTTAGCTGAGATAATGATAAGAAATAGTGATTTTTAAATATTTTCCAAGTTCAAGGCGGATAACTATCTAAAAACATCTGACCATAAACAAATTAGAACTTGACTTGTATTTTCTGCTAAAATACCAGCAGACTCGTACAATGTCAACATCGGACATACATTACAACAGAAACTGATTTTTTTTATTTCAAGTTAAAGACGGATAATCTGTTAAAAATCAATGGACCAAAACCTAATTCAAATTTTACTTGTATTTTCTGGTAAAATACCTAAACATGCGATTTCAACCTTATACATACATTTCTTCAAAGATATGAGTGCGGAAACTGGAAATTTCTTTTTTTTATTCAACGTGCAAAATGTAACTTTGTCCATAATCAGCTAATCATGACAAATTCAAACAGTTTCCAGCTTCTTCCTACAACATATCTATATGTCAAATGTGAGTTAAATGTGTACTACTGTTGGGGAGAAAATGAACTGTTAACTTTTTTTTTCAACGTTCAAGAGGGGTTACTAATTTCCAAATCGTCGAACCATGACCAAATTCGATCCATATATTTAATTTGTGTTGAATTTGTACAACCTTTATGGTAGATTATGAACGGAAACTGATAATTTCTTATTTTGTTTCAAAATTAGAGGGACTAAACTCAAAAGTAATCGAACCATGACTAAATTCGAACTTGAACTGCGTAATTTTATGACTTTTATGCCACCGTAATGGAGTGATAGCGACCGCTGCACTTAACTTGCATATTATTCTAATATATGAACTATAACCGGCTGATAGTTCACTCCACCCCTTTTTGTCGATCCGTTTCATGTAATTTACGTCATGCCCATGATAGGATATTAGCATTCGTTAAAATTTAGTACGACGATGAAAACGTGTGATTATTGACGTATTAATTTCAAAACGGACAATTACACAATACTGAACAGGTAGAATAGCCTTACATGTATAATTTGCGGGTCACAAGACATTATAACATCGACAGGTCATAGCGGACTTGTTAAGTTTTAATCTAGCAGGAGGAAATGTTGAATTATTTCAGGATTTACTCTACGAGGGAGATAATAATATTTCATTGACGCAGTCACTGATAGTGAACACGCATCAACTCTTGAATTATAAAAATGTGCACTTTCAAACATTAACATTTTGTCTTGCTCGCTCAGCTGTAGATTGATTTTGTATTCCTAGAGCTTTTTGTTATATACGACGGTCGCCCTTCGTAAAGACATACATCTAATAGCATGTAATATCAGGGGCCAGTTTCTCAAAGCTCTGTTAAATTTAACCGTCCGTTAAATCCACTAACGCACGGTTAAATTTAACCTTTGTGTTAAATTCTGTTGCTCAAAATTAACGCTCACTTTAACTGCCACTTTAACAGCTGAATCTGTCTGTTAATTTAATCAAGGTTTGAACCTCCGTTAAAATTTAACAGAGGAATCAAATATGGCTGCTTTCATGTTAGTTCCTATTAGAAGAGAACGTCAGTTTCGCTATACCTCGCATTTACATGAAATGACTGACAGTGAAATGATACGCAGGTATAGATTTAGTAATGAAGGTGTGAATTATATTGTAAATTTACTAGAAAATGACATAAAAAGGAGTACGAAAAGAAACCATGCCATTTCACCACGTACCCAGGTGTTGCTAGCATTAAGATTCTTTGCATCTGGTTCCATGTATGAAGTCATTGGGGATACCTGCGGATTTAGCAAAAGTACAGTGTCAAGAGCGTTTGACAGTGTCACAGATGCACTAGTAAGTCACATCCATGAGTTTGTGAGCTGGCCACATGAGGAAAAAAAGAAAATTTCTTCACACTTTTACGATATCGCCGGCTTTCCTAATGTAATCGGCTGCATTGACGGCACACATGTGAGGGCACCAAAGACCGATGAGGCCTCCTTCGTAAACAGAAAAGGCTATCATAGTATTTCTGTACAAGCTGTCTCTGATAATGAAGGTATATTTTCACTTTTTTTACACAACCGATTGTGTATCACGATCTAGGTCAAAGCTGCTTATAACAATAAATAATAAACGAACTTTGGGCAAATCGGTCTAAAGATGAAACGGTATCACTTTCCGTATGTTCACGGATATCTATATATATACTTAGTGCAAGCAGTCTACTTTTTAATTATTTTGGATAATTTAATTTAAAAATTCAAAATTGCGCCTTTATTAACCTACTTACAACTTATTAATATTGTCTAGAAAGTATGATCAGATACGCGTAAAGGAATTCTTCAATCTTTAAAGTTCTAAGATTAAAAAAAGAGATTTTTTTCAACTTCGTGAAGGTACCATGAAGTCATTAAAAATCAGATGAATTCATAACATAACTGTTAAAAGTCATTCATTTCTTGTGTAAGGAGACTCTACACGGTTTGTCTTTAACTACCCCAAAAGTTCATATGACACCTCAAGACTACTCCAAAAGTACCCCAAGACCAGTGTGTCTAGCTAATATAATAATGACTCACAAGTTTTATCAATATTTTAATTTTAACTATGTATTCATCAAGTATGTTTTATTATAGGTAAATTCACGAGTGTAAATGCAAGTTGGCCAGGTTCTTGCCATGACAGTCATGTTTTCAGAACATCGGGGCTTTGTCAGCGTCTTGAGAAAGAAAACAAAAGTTTTTCAGATGGGGTCCTTCTCGGTGATAGCGGGTATTTATACTATTTGGTTCAATCTATTGCTTAACATTTTATAAAAGATGGAAACATTTGATTTGTCAATTCAATTTACAGCCTAGTTATGCAATTTTAATTTATTTATATTAAAAAGGGACTCATGCGCTTGACAGAAATAATTGTAACGGGAATTTATTTATTAAATAGATAATTGATAACAGCTCGAGGTGTCATAAAGCTGCATGTTTTTTCAGTTGCCACCTAAAAACTTTCATTGATAATATAGTTTTGTTTCTTAACGGACAATCTTCAAACTTAATCTTAAGATACGACTAATTGAGTAGACCATGACTCTTGAATAATCTTGATAATCAAGTTATAATGCTGCTTGATATTTATTATAACTTAAAGGTTAAATTATTGAATTGTGCTTTAATTGTCTAGGCCGGATTTGATTGATTTTTGTCATTAACTTATGTAGTGTCTTATTCATGCTTGTGCATAACCTCCATTTAGAAAAGACGGCTTATATAAAAATGAACATAATCTTTTAATTATTTGACCATGACATTCAGTGCTCTTCCTCCGATTTGTAATAAAAAGTGGGAGCATATAATGTCCCCACCCAATGGTGGCTCTTCTTATTATCTTTGAATAACATTACACTGAAATTACATTTGTAGGTATCCATGTAGACCTTTCCTAATGACACCATTCTTGGCGACAGATACAGTTGGAAAAATGCGCTACCAAGAGAGTCACACAAAGACACGTGTAACTATAGAGAGAGCTTTTGGACAGTTGAAGCGTCGCTTTCATGTTCTTCATTCAGAGGTAGCGGACTTTTTTTTATAAAGAATTGTGTAAATATTTATGTAATTGTAAAAATACAATTGTCACATTAATTTATCGGACATTGAAAATATAAACATACAACAAGGATACATTTTAAATGGTTTTCTGTTCAATCTAGCACAATGTTGACATACATGTTTACACATTGTGCAATGTATTTCTTATTTTGTCACAAATTCATTTTCTTATTAATAATAAATAATTTAAAATATTCCTAATTACAATTTAAAAGGTAAAATGTTGATTTTATTGAAGTATTACACTTATATTTACCAGGCAAGTGATTTTTTAAATCATGAATTTTCTTTAAAAATTTATCCTAGTATTTTGTATGAATATAATTATATAGTAATAAATTTCTGTTCTGTTCATCAGATGCGGCTTGCTCCTGCTAAGGTGTGTCGAGTTGTTACTGCATGTGTTATCTTGCATAACATAGCTCATTTTCTTCATGAATCAGATGTAGAGGAGTTTGAAGAAAATGACTTGGATGTCGGCAATGAAAGATGTTTAAACGATAGGCGAGATGGGGCAGCAGTTAGAGAGTTTTTCGTACAGCAATATTTTGCTTGAATTCTATTTCCCATTGGGAAATCACATTTACAGAATAATGACCAAATGTGTGTCTTTATAAGAATTTATTGCTTTACACTTAAACACAAGATCACATAGTCAGGCATACAAAATGTATCAATGTATTAAAATATCATAAAACGTGAAAAAAATCCATTACAAACTACATATTGTTAGTAAACTTTTGTTAAAATGAGACATTAATTTGTTGTACATATATTATTAGTTATAAAGATCGTTGACAGGTTATATGGCCCTATATAAACGCTTTTTGTAAATATAACCCGAGCCGTTAGGCGAGGGTTATATTGCAAACAGCCGTTTATATACGGCCATTTTACCCATGAACAATCTTTATAATGAATTTATAATATAGCAAGCATCATTTTTAGAGAAAAATTGTTAGATTTCTTCATGAATCGACAGAAGTCGTGTATATAAAACTATATAAACGTCACGATTATCCAATGAAAAGCGACGTTACAAACGTGCAGTATTATAAATATATATACATGTATATCATTATAAAGCTGCATGCACGTTTGTTACGTCACTTTTTATTGGATAATCGTGACGTGTATATAGATTTATATATACGGCTGCTGTCCATTTATGAAGATAAAATGATGCTTGCTGTATTAAAGATTCCTGACATGTTATATGGCCCTATATAAACGGCTGTTTGCAATATAACACTCGCCTAGCGACTCGGGTTAAATTTACGAACAGTCATTTATATAGGGACATATAACCTGTCAACAATTTTTATAACTAACATAACATAGTTAAACAAGAACCGGTTGAACCGGGTGATTCTCCCAGAATAGGTTTTGGACACAGAAAAGTATACCTTATGTAGTTTGAGAGTTATGTCCCGGACAAGGTTCAAAGTGCAATTATTCAAAACTTAGGAAAGACAGAGTTACTGTTCTTTGCACTGTTCATGTACACAATGATATCTATCTACCTACAAAGTTTCTTGTTCATATCTCTTATAGTGTCAGAGTTAAGTCCTGGACAAAGTTCAAAATATCAAAATGAATCAAGGGCAATAACTCCAAAATTAGGCAAGGCAGAGTTATAGTTCTTTTGCACTGCACTTCTAAGCAATGAGATCTATCTACAGTTGAGTTCACACTAAAGGTTACACAAAGTAGTGTACAAGGGTGGGAAGTTTAGTGTGAACTCAACTGTACCTACAAAGTTTCATGTTGATGGACTACCGGACGGACGAACAAAGCTGCAACTATTATGCTCACCCTTTGGGGAGTATAAAAAATAAATATCATGTTACTGTTCACAAAGTAAATGAAGTAAATCGGCAGCATTCATCTCGTTAAGTTTCCCTTCTGCTGCCTTCATGACCCGTAGTTTCACTTCCAAAAGCTCCTTCTCCAGCTCTTGTCTTTCAACCATTCCTTTGAAATAGGCAATTTGGTAGTCAGTTAGAATTTCGCTCTTACTCTTCTTTACTTGCTTGTGCATAGCTCTGGAATGGTAAAAATGAACATTGAAAGAACCCACCAAAGTCCAAAATGATAAAATTTGAATTTCTTACAAGCAGTACTACTTGGGCACTTGAAGCAAAAAAGTAAATTAGCTATTGAATTTACTCATAAATATATTGAAATTAGTATTTTTGTTCTATTATTTGCCAGATTTTAGTTTAAAATGCGTGCTACTGCTCTTTAAATTATTTTAAATCATTTTCACAAATTCAATTATTATTCTTGAAAAAGTAAGTCAGTGAAAGATCTGAAAATAAGCTAACTTAGCCAATTGGTCTAGAGCTATAACAAATTAACCAATAATACTGAAAAATTATTTCCATTTCCAAACTCATTGGAGCCCCTTTAATCCAAACAGGAGCGCTGAATTCAACATGCCCCCAGATACCCCTTTTACATCAAAATCTTGGAGGATCAGATTAGGAAAAATATATTGTGTAACTAGAATAGTGCATGCACTTACAATTTGTTATTGGACGAACGTTCCAAGCCATTGTTGGTCTTGCTTCCACTAGTTGATATAGACACACTACTCTGTTCACTCTCTGCAGTGTCATCAATCATAAAATGTTAAAATTTGCATTATATTTGGTACAAATTTTCATAAAAAATGAAATAGAAGTCAAAATAAAAATCAAAACTTTTTTACCAAAGTATAAATAATAAACATGACAAAGTTATTCAATCAAAACCCAAATGAGAATTATGGGCCTTGGATAGTGACTTGCAACTAAGATCACTCCTTAACTTGCATCAAGGCTTTACATTTTTTATTGACAATGTTTCAAAAATATATTATACCACCTGTTTCATATTGTAACAAGCCACTATAATAATAAAATGGTTTTTATTTGCTTTTTTATTAATGAATATAATATATTTTTTTGGCTTAATTGCTCTTTAACATTTAAGATATTCAGAATTGAGCAATAACAATTTAGCAATATTGACATTTAATAAACAAACCTTTTCTGATTTACAGTGCTGCTTGTAGAAGCTGTAGGCAGAGGTGACTTTGAAAGTGCTTCAGAAATGTTGCTGGTTTCTTGTTGTAGGTCACAGTCCTTTGAGTTACTCAGATAGTGAAGTCCATCTGAAAGGATAATAGTTTAAGCCTTAATATACATGTAGATTACCATGGCCTACAACCCATGATCTAAATATTAACTTTGATAGCATAAATATAAATTATAGCCTAAGATACCAGAGACATAGATATCTGCATCTCTCTGGCTATAAAAAAACATGTTTCAATAAAATTTTAGCAGTAAATTAATGATTATGTGGAATTAATATTTATTGTGTGCAAAGAACAATTTTCCGGTATGCAATTTTTGAGAATACAAGAGGGACAAAGATAGTCCGAGTAACCTATAGTCTAACTTGTCCTTGTCTATTTGTTAATGATACAAGCGGCCTTCTTGTAGGTACATGCAAACCCATTTCTAAGACGAATTGGTGGGGAAAAACAATATTTTGGTACTTGATTCGACATGTTTTCGTGTCGATGGATACTTTTTAATCTTAGTGTGGCATGTTGTTTTATTTTCTTTAACAAAGCTACCGGATAAACCTAGTAATTTGCGCAAAACACGTTTTCAGTTTGTGGGAAATTTTGAAATCTATTTAAAGATTTTTATTTATAAACAGTAAAGTGAAAGTAGAAACGAGAGCAGACGAACTTTTGAACAATGAGCAAAACTGGTAAACTAGATGTATTGCGTTTAAAAGATTACAGATACGTTTAATACCTTGTTCATCAGTATCTAGTCCACCTTCTATTCCCGAAAAAGCTGATGAACTTGACAGCAAGTCGCCGATACGCTGCGACTGCTGACTAACCCCGAGACACGGCAAACCACCATTCTTGCGTCGTTCTAGTTTATCTTTCGTAAAATTCTCTTTAGCCTTCCGTTTCAAGTTTGCCCATTTATCAACACATGCCTGCTCTGATCTCTGCGTGTATGCCAGAGCAGATATCTTGTTACTTATTTCTTTCCATATTTCCTACTTTCGGGCATTTGTGACTTGATTTGTAAATTTTGAGTTGAGCACTTCAAAATTTTCTTTTACTAATTCCTCAAGATTCACATTGAAATTTGTTGCTCTTATACGTTTTACATTATTTTTCTGTGAAAAGACATTGGATTCTGACGATTCAGACGCCATTTTGCAGACTCAAAATGGGGAATTATGGGATTGAATGAACCTGCTAACAGCTGGTTAAAATTTAACAGGAGTGTTAATTAACACTCCTGTTAAAAAGTTTTGAGCAACAAGTTTTTAACAGGCTGTTAAGTAACAGTCGGTTAGCTATTTTAACGGACTGTTAATTTAACAGACGGTTAAATTTAACAGAGCTTTGAGAAACTGGCCCCAGGTCGGTTTTCAGTCCTACAATTGAGACAGTCATTTTGTATTTACTGTGCTATGTTGCAGGAAAGCATCATTCTTGCTTCGGCTGATTATTTTTAAACGGGACACATTTTATAAGCATTTAAAAATATTCTTGAAATGTCGCTAATCCTACTCAAAGAGCTCATTTTCATATAAATAGATATTCTATGCCGCCCCTTCCCTCACATACACAAGGTAGAAATATGATAGATGTTAGTCTGTAAAATTGTTTAGAATTTTTGCAGACAAAACATTTACGGTTTTCTGAAATATGTAAACTGCTATATATGCACAGAAAGTAAACCTCACTGTGCTTAAACCGATCTTACTATAGCCCTTCATTAAAAACTTCGCGAATTTGCTGGTTTACATAAAGAAATTGCGCAACATGTATGGTGTTCTAAATTTTTACCAAAAGAGAATCGACCATTCCAGGAGGCGGTGCTAAATTGTGCATATTTGAAAACTGCAATATTGACCACTTATGTCAACTTTTATCATGACGACTAGCGTTTTTACCTCGAACGAAATCATTACATTACGTCGTTGACTTGCCAAACAATTTTCTCTTAGAACGTCTACTGGAAGACGACACGCACCAACAGGATGTACGATACACGCTTCCATACATTTAAGATATATTTGAAGTTGTACGATTATTTGAAGACGCCGAACCAGACATTTCTCTTTATCATCATCGGGTTAGACCAGTTGCAGTGTACTAGTATAGATAAGTGAAAATTATTTTTTAATTCGATTTTGTTTCTTTTGTTTAAATAGTCCTGGTAATATCTCCCTGACTTCAAAGCTATAAGAGACCATTTTGAGACACTTACATAAACGTTAATATTTTATTGGCGT